CTCTTCTAGATCAAGAGACTAAAGACACACAATGCACAACAACAACTACAGTGTGGTCCTTGAGAGGATTTTAGATCAGAAAAAAAAGCTGTAAAGGATAGTCTGGGACAGAGGTGATTCTGACGATGGACGGCATATTATTCAATGGTATTGCATTGTTGTTAAACTTGCGTCACAGTTATGTAAGAGAATGATCTCGTTCTTATATATGAGGAAGTAGTATGAGTGAATTGTCATGTTTTCTGCAACTTACTCTCAAATCATTCAACTAATAAAATGTGTGTGTGTGCGCAAAGAGGAGGAGAGGAAGATAAAGCAAAGTAACAAATTTATAAATCTAGGTGAAGGATATGCAGGCATCCCTTGTATAACTTTTCCAAAGGCTTCAAATGTTTCAAAATAAAATGTTAGGAAAGACTTCCTGCATAGCCACAGATATGGTAGCTACATAAATCCAAATATCCCAATACATCTAATGCAGACCAAAAAGAGAAACAAATAAAACCACAAATATCCCATATCTTGTAATATAATTAGAAGACTGAAAATACTGCAAGCTTCAAACTGCCTGGAATTAGAAAAACATCAACTTCTGGTGGAGATATTTCTCAAACACACATCCTAACTCTTCAAGGAGAGTAAGGCGGGACATAGATGGGAAGAGAAATGCATAGGAGAGAGAGAGGAGTAGGATGGAGAGCCTAAGATGGACCTAAATTGCTCCTGGGGAAAAAAACCCCACACTAAGTATGCAGATACTGACAGGGAGTTCTGGTAGGTCAGAGCAGTCCAGGAAAAAAGTGTATACACAACACAAGGAGGCAGTATTTGAAAGCCCATGTTTCTGGGGAGAAGATGGCAAAAAGGAATGAGCTGCCTTTTGAAACTGTGCTGTGAAGGGCGGAGAGCGCAGAGTATAGACCCTATAAGACAAGAGAAAATTTAGAAGTCAAAGGACATACAACCATGTCCCCTTTTTTGGCTTTTTGCCTTCTAGTAAAGAAACCATACTCACTACACTTACAAAAGAATAGGAACTGTTCTTGAACACGGAATCTCGTAAATCATCTATCAATCCTGTTCACAAAATACAAAATTAAAGATAAAAAAGAGTCAGTGAACTTGAAGATAGTGCAATAGAAATTATATAATCTGAAGAGGAGAAAAAGACAGACTGAAAATAATGAAAGAGTCTCAGGATCCTGTGGAATAATATAAAAACAGCTAACACAAATATAATTGAAGTCCCAAAAGAAGAGGTTAAAGAGAATGGAAAACAAAAACAACAACAAAAAAATTTAATGACTTGAAATTTCCTAAATTGGGTGACAGGAATAAATTTTTTAGATTTAAGGTCAGAAAACCTCAAGCAGGATAAACACAAAGAAAATCACACCTAGACACATTGCAGGCAAACTGCTGAAAACAAAAATAAAGAGAAAATCTGGGAAACAAAGAAAAATGGCACATTATATACAAAATAACAATAAAAATGATGACTCCATCTTACAATAGAGTTAAAAAGGCATACTTAGGAATAAATTTAATGAAAGATGTATAAGATCTCCCCACTGAAAACTACAAACAGTACTAAAAGCAACTAAGACTTAGTAAAAAGGGAGATATACCATGCTCATAGATTTTAAGAGTCAATACCATTGAAATGTTAATTTTTCCCAAATTGATGTAAAGATTAAATGTCATCCCAGTCATAACCATAACAGACTTTTTCATAGAAATTGATAAAATGGGGGCGCCTGAGTGGCTCAATCATTAAGTGTCTGCCTTCAGCTCAGGTCATGATCCCAGGGTCCTGGGATTGAGCCCCGCATCAGGCTCCCTGCTCAGCGGGAAGCCTGCTTCTCCCTCTTCCACTCCCCCTGCTTGTGTTCCCTCTCTCGTTGTGTGTCTCTCTGTCAAATAAATAAATAAAATCTTTAAAAAAAAAAGAAATTGATAAAATGATTCTAATACTGATATGGAAATGCAAAGGAACTAGACTGTCCAAATCAATCTTGAAAAACAACAAAGTTGTAGGACCTACACTATGTGACTTCATGACTTACTATAAAGCTACAATAATTAAAATTTAAGTAATTAAAACTATCACTGAAGCAAATAATACATTATATGTTAATAATTTAAAAAATAAATAAATAAAAAAGTAACTAAAACTGACATAAGAATTGATCAGTGGTGGGGCACCTGGGTGGCTCAGTTGGTTAGGTGACCAACTCTTGGTTTTGGCTCAGGTCAGGTTTCAGGGTCAAGGTCTTGGGGTTGTGGGATCAAGCCCTGCATTGAGCTCTGTGCTCAGCGGAGAGTCTACTGGAGACTCTCTCCCTCTCCCTCTCCTTCTGCCCCTCCCCCTACTCTTACACGCACTCTCTCTAAGATAAATAAATCTTTAATAAAAAAAAAATGAGGGGCGCCTGGGTGCTTCAGAAGTTAGGCGTCTGCCTTCGGCTCAGGTCATGAGCCCAGGGTCCTGGGATCGAGCCCTGCATCAGGCTCCCCGCTCCGCGGGAAGCCTGCTTCTCCCTCTCCCACTCCCCCTGCTTGTGTTCCTGCTCTCGCTGTGTCTCTCTCTGTCAAATAAACAAAATCTTTAAAAAAAAAAAAAAAAAGATCAGTGGAATAGGAAAAAAAAGCCCAGAAACTAACCACCATTTATACAGTCATCTGAATGGCAATCTGAATTGCAAAGATACAAATGTAATGCAATGGCATTTTCAACAAATGATGGGACAACTGGATATCCATATGGGGAAAAAATTTTATATTTTCCAGAAAGTATTTTTCACACAATTCACAAAAACTAGAGATGGATCATAGGCCTAAATATAAAAGCTACAACCATAAAATTTCTAGAAGAAAATATAGAACTATATCTTCACATCCTAGAGGTGGTCAAGATTTCTTAGACAAGACTCAGAAAGCAGTGACAATAAAAAAAAAAAAAAAAGATAAATATGACTACACCAAAATGTAATACTTTGCTTATCAAAGAGCACTCTATGAAAATGGATACGCAACCATAAAACACTGATATCCAGGATATAAAAAAGATATAACTCCTGCAACTCAATAATAAAGACAAGAACCCCAATTTTAAGTAGTCAAAAATCTGGGCAGGCGCTTAAAGGAAGATATCCAAATGTCAACAAGCCCAGAAAGTGTTCAACATCATTAGTAATCAAGGACTAAAATTAAAACCATAATGACATACCCCTCCATACCCTCCAGAATAGCTAAAAATAAAGACTACAGCACCAAAATTGGCAAGGATGTGAAGCTACTGGAATTCTCATACACCGTTGGCTGGAAAAAGAATGATAAAACTATTCAGCTGTAAGCACATGCTACCCTCCATGAATAAAGAATCATGACTTAGGTTCAGAGGGTAGAACAGCCGGCCACTACCTACAGCCTTCCCAATCTTAACATTTCAGAAAAGTACTAGAGCAAAGAAAGAGTATTTCCAATGCCCTAAGAATACTAGAGTATAGATTTACTCAACATAAATAGTAAAGGAAAGAGAATGAAGATTCAGGGAAGGAAGGCAGAGAGAATTCCTCTTCTGAAACACCTTCTAAACCTTTCCATTATATAAACTTTTCATATACTTAATGACTTTAAACCATTTTCTACCTCCTTAAGTTAATGAAAACCTCGCCCTCCTGGGGGAGACTCCTGAGCCCTCAAGTGGCAGCTATTGATTCTTATCCCAGACATTTCAGGGTAAAGAGGTGAACTCTTTGTTCCCCTCACCGCTGACAGACCATTACTATGCTACCCTCTTCCATAAAGCACGATTCCTTTGAAGTTTACACCATCTGACTGTAGCCCTATTCAACAGCCTTGATTTTGCAATCTACTACCCTAATTACAGTTCTCATTCACTAGACTTTCTGGAATTTAGCTCTGTCTTTTCCATTCCAAGACCTGCCTTCATGCACATCCAAATGGAATGCACATATCGAACCTCTGCACTAAGCACCAGGTCCACGTAGCTCCCTCAACTTGAAATCTTCACTAAGACACCTCAAATTCAGGAGCACCTGGGTGGCTCAGTTGGTTAAGCGTCTGCCTTCAGCTCAGGTCATGATCCCAGAGTCCAGAGATCAAAACCCACGTCAGAATCCCTGCTCAGCAGGCAGTCTGCTTCTCCCTCTGCCCCTCACCCACCCCACTCATGCTCGCTCTCTCGTTCTCTCTCTCAAATAAACAAATAAAATTTAAAAAAAAAGACACCTCAAATTCAATATGTATAAAATTCAGCTCATAATCTACATACTTCCCCACCTTAGGCCATCATCAGTGTTTTCTCAGTAAATGGCACACACAACTATACAGCTGCATGAGGCAGAAACAGCTTTGTATTTAATTTAGCTGCTCTCTCACCCAAACATCAAAAAGGCATTTTGATTCCACTAGATCAGTATCTCTTGAACGCATTTTCTCAATTTCTACACTCACTGCCCTAATCCAAGCATCTGCTGTACCATGAGGAGACTCCACAGTAACTACCAACTGATCTCACTGAGTCTATGCTCACATATTCTGTACTGCACACTGCAATCAAAAAGACTTTTGTTTTCAAAGAACTTTGTGCTTCATTCTCAGCACATGCAGGCAGCTAGGCACAAAGCAAATAATATTTGTTGAATAAAATCTATGTCAGAGTGAAAAACCAATAAAGACTCAAATAATCAATACCCCTTATTCTAACAACTCTATGGTTTTACAGCTTAAGTAGAATACTTATAATTACTGATATTAACTGTTCCTAGCCTATAGCCAGAATAAAATATTCAGTCCATGACCAGAGGCTCCCAAACAACATATTGAAATCATGGTTTCAATGGTGCACTTACTCTCTTTATTATACATACTGACATTTCTAAACAGGGGATAACCATTATCTTCTGGTAGTACCTAACTATTGAGGCACATTATGACCAGACAAATAAATAAGCATATAAAAATATGATCATTACCCTTAGAAGGATTCTAATTTCTTGTTCAATAGCAGATTGAGTTTCTGGACTCAGTTTCCCAGTATCACTGTAGGTCATAACTCCAAGCTAAAACAAACGAAAAGAAATTGAACAGAAAAACCCTAAACCACTAATAAATGTAACAGAGGAAGTACTATCCTATACTTAAGGAAACATCATGGGGACAAGGAAGAAATTCAATATAAAAACACCCTTGAGGGCAAAGAAATTTCATCATTCTTCTGAAAGTATAAGACTAAAATTAAAAATATAAGAGAAAAAATTTAAAATAATAAGTATGGCTCTGAGTACCTTCTTCGAAAACCTTTGCAGCTATTCCAAATCCAGAAATCCACAATGTAATGTATTAGAAATGATTCATGAAGCCACAGTGATAATGTAGGAGAGTGAAATATGTGGAAAGGGTAAAGTAAGCAAGCTCAGCAAATAGGTGTTTTATGTCATAAGAACAGAAAATAGAATATCTTATCATTTGCTTAACTCATGAGATACTGTTATTGTCCAAGCAGCCAGAATGGAAAGTGAATACTATATGTTATTACTCAAAAAACAAAAACAGTTTAGTTTAGAATAAGCTGTGACAAATCTACTTGAAATGAGACGGGCGGGGGGGAAGTAAGTGTTACCAATTTATAATGAGAACCCTCTCTCATAGGGCGCCTGGGTAGCTCAGTTATTTAAGCGACTGCCTTCGGCTCAGGTCATGGTCCCAGAGTCCCGGGACTGAAGTCCTGCATCGGGTTCCCTGCTCCCTCTGACCCTCCCCCGTCTCGTGCTTTCTCTCTCTCTCGCTCGCTCTCTCTCAAATAAAATCTTAAAAAAAAAAAAAAAGAACCCTCTCTCATAAACAGACCTTGGCAAATCATCATTTGATACATGAGGAAGGGTTAAAATTAGCTATTACCTTTTCACTCATTCCAAATTTGGTAACCATCCGCTTTGCTATTTTAGTTGCATTATCAAAATCACTGGAAGCACCTAAAATTTTAAAATATACATAGAACTCAATTTTTTAAAGTATTTTTAAATCAGCAAGCACAATTTGAACTAAAGCCATTCTTTACAGCCAACCTGTTGTGATATGGTCAGTTCCAAATATAAGCTCCTCAGCTACTCTTCCTCCCATACTAACGTCCATCTGTGCAAGCAACTGAGCTCTAGTTTCATTCCATCTGTCATTCTCAGGCAAAAGGGACACCTAGACAATTGAAAACAAAGAAAAACTTCAGACACAGTTTGAAATACCTATATTAATAATCAGAATTATCATTTGGCTCTTGCTATAGTACTTAATATCATGATGCTGACAGCTCAAAAAAATTGAGTAGAGATGGTCTCAGGCGACTAATGACAAAACTGGCAATATACAAAATAAGAAAAATTCTTTATAAGGCAAAAGTTCATTTTATATGTAATGCGTATATGATGCTGCAAGAGGATGGACTTATACCCAGGTGCACAAAAATGCTTAAAATGTCTATCATTAGAAAGGTATGAAAATGAAACTTGTACTCGATAAGAAAAATCTTAGAAAAACTATGGAACCACTGACATAGTTTCTTTGTGGAGGGAAAAGAGCAATTACCTATTTAAGAATGATACTTTGTTGTCATTCCAGATTTAAATTTCATAATGTAAATATATAATATTTGAAATATTAGTATTCTTTATTAGCAGATGTTTCACCAGTATCTCTGATTTCACAATGGTTCAGAAGGTTAAAGAAGAAAGTTCTCAGCAAACTTAGGAATTAGTTGAATTTTCTTTTTAATTATTTTCATCAATAATTTCCTACGTAAGTTTTTGGAGAGTGTTACTTGAAAGAAAAGAAAAAAAAACTACAAGATACTTACATGTCCAAGTGTTGGCCCTCGTGGCATGATTGTAGCTTTGTTGATAGGCATTGCATCTTTAGTATAATATGCAATAATAGCATGACCAGATTCATGATATGCTGTGATGGTTTTGTTTTTGTTATCAATTTCCACACTTCTACGTTCAGGCCCTAAGGATAAAAATTTAACTGAATAAAATTATTCTGTTAGGAAAGTATATTTAGATGAATGAAACCCACTTGCCTTTAAGTAATTCTTAGGGTGACATGACTTAATATCATTAACAAATATTTTAAACCACAATAACTTGACAAATGACAACCAAAATTGTAAGAGCTGTCATCTTACTCCTTACTATCAACAAGGAAAAAGTTTAATTCTATTTCCAGAAAATAAATTTAAAGAAGAAATGTCATAACTAACCTGTTCTGAAGCCAATTCAAGATTTAAAATCAAATACTGAAAATTAGTAAAATTATTCTTTTATCAGCAATATCAGACAAGAGGAAACACATGGGCACCCCTGCCCCCAAAGAGTATAATCATACAAACTATATTTGTTCTGTAAGAGGCCCAATTGTGTGGCTATTTTTGAGTATGTGTTTTCTTACTCCTGTACCTTTCTTTTTTATAACCTTTTTCTCAAAAAGAATTTATTCTTTAACATAATGAACAGTGTTAAGACAGGGAAAAAGAAAAAAGGGGAGAGAAAACCTACCCATTAGAATTTTATCTTTGGAAAACTCTAGTTCCTTCATGGTAACTGTTTCTTTTCCATCCACAGCTGCCTTTAATGCAGCCTGGTTCACAAGATTCTCCAACTCTGCTCCAGAAAAGCCAACAGTACCTCGAGCTATAATTTCTGGATCAACAGCTACACAGACAAACACAATATTAAAATTCCAGAACAACTCTTCAGAAACAACTCGCATTCCAAAAGAAAAAAGAAAACAGCTATCCTGAACTAGAACTTAAAATATTTATTTCACTGTAACTATAAAATAAACTTATTTTTCTAGAGGAAAAAGCCAAATGTGCCATTAAATATATCATTAAAACTACCAGTGGGACAAATCACAGAAGTTCTTAAAGAACTTTGTGGAAAAAAAAAAACAAAGAAATTCAGAGTTGCCAGACTTGATTTATAAACCTTCAAATTATAACCTAAATTGTTACTAGCCTAAGCACAAACTGAAAATGTATACTCAGACAACAGTTTATTGGGGCACCTGGGTGGCTCGGTCGTTAAGCGTCTGCCTTTGGCTCAGGTCATGATCCCAGGGTCATGGGATCGAGCCCCACATCGGACTCCCTGCTCAGCGGGAGGCCTGCTTCTCCCTCTCCCACTCCCCCTGCTTGTGTTCCTGCTCTTGCTGTCTCTCTCTGTCAAATAAATAAATAAAATCTTTAAAAAAAAAAAAAGACATTTTGTTTTCTGAATTTCATCTTGAAATACTTTATACATAAGTATTCAGTATTTTATGTACATTTATAAAAGCTCCCATTATAAGAAACATATCTGGTTTTACAAATTGATTCACCTATCTTTGAAAATACTGCAGCTTAATAGCTGCATTTATTACTTAAGTGGGTCCATAATATTTTCGTGTGTTTTGTTTTACAGTTTGCTTCTTTTGGGCCCAAAGTGATTATATGTGTTTTTTCTACTATTACATTCATCTTAAAAACAGTTATATATATATTTATCTTCAAGTATTATTTATCTAAGTAATCTAAAGAAAACAGTCTTTTTTTTTTTTTAAGATTTTATTTATTTATTTGAGAGAGTGAGTGAGAAAGAGAACATGAACAGGGGCAGCGGGAAATGGAGAATCAGACTCCCCTGCTGAGCAGAAAATCCTATTCAGGGCTCAATCCCAGGACCCTGGGATTACGACCTGAGCCAAAGGCAGCTGCTTAACAGACTGAGCCACCCAGGTGCCCCAAGAAATAAACTTTTTAAAAAGGACATATAAGGGGCGCCTGGGTGGCTCAGTTGTTAAGCGTCTGCCTTTGGCTCAGGTCATGATCCCAGGGTCCTGGGATTGAGCCCCACATTGGGCTCCCTGCTCGGCGGGAAGCCTGCTTCTCCCTCTCCCACTCCCCCTGCTTGTGTTCCCTCTCTCGCTGTGTCTCTCTCTGTCAGATAAATAAATAAAATCTTTTAAAAAAGGACATATAAATGGAGAGAAAAAAAGGACATATAAAAAACTGGTCTTTTGAGACATTTGTCAAGTAACCACAAACAGGGCAGAATGAAATATTACCATTTTATAGAGATAATAATAAAGTTTATTACTGGAATCAGACTTACACTGATCAAACTTTATTTTATTGAGATACCATTTCAAAATTTCTGTTCGACCTTTTACATCTGGTCTTGGAACTGTAACCTGCATGTCAAAACGACCAGGACGTATTAAGGCACTAAAGGGAGAAGAAGAAAATATAAATTAATAATCTGAGCACACTGAAGGTCAAATTAAATAGGACTGACACTCTAAAGTCAAGATGGAAGGATAATGGCAACCAGAGGTGAGACTGGAGTTTTGGTTTTTATTTTAATTCCAGGACAGTTAATATACAGTGCTGTATTAGTTTCAGGTATACAATATAGTGATTCAACAATTCCACACATCACCCAGTGCTCATCACAACAGGTGCACTCCCTAATCCCCATCACCTATTTCACCCTAGATTGGAGTTTTGAACATAAATATTCAGATAACTCCTTGTAAAACAGGACTCAAGTAACAGTTTCAATAACCAGAAGGCAGAACAAAGGTTGACAGAGAGAGGTAATACACAACCCTCAAAAACAAAAACACGCAAGCCAGTCACTCAAGGAAAAATAATTCTAGAGCAGTCTATTATGAGAGCTACACTGTGATAGCTTCCTATCACAACTGCTGTAAGTACAGAATGTTAAACTACAGACTTAGGCAAAGATAAAACTGTTAGATCAAATTAAAATATGAGTAACTTCTATGATAAAATCAAAAATTTAAAACTCTAATAAATTTTATTTTAAAAATGCTCTCCACCACCCCCAAATTCTGTGATATAAAGTTGTCAGAAGATTAATGACTTTACTGAAATTTAAATCACGTATCACAGAATCTCAAGTAGATAATCGAGTGGTTTTTAATATATTCAAAGTTGTGCAATTATCAACAATCTAACTCAAGAATATTTTTATTCCCCCACCCCAAAAGAAACCCCACAGCCACCAACAGTCACTAGTCTCCATTCTTCCCACCCTCTGGCAACCACTAATCTACTTTCTGTTGCCACCGATTTGCTTATTCTGGACATTTCATATAAAAAGAATCATATGTGATGTTTTGTGATGAGCTTCTTTCTCTTTTAAAGTTCATCCATGGTTCAGTATGCATCAGTACTTGTCAAAAAAGTCTTTTAATACGTACTTATCTAATGCCTCTGGGAAGTTTGTGGCTCCTATTATGATAACTCTTTCATTGGGTTTAAAACTATTAAAAAAGAAAAAAAGTAACGTTTCACTGAATATTAAGAGTACACATATAGAAATGCTCTACACAAAACTGTTTATCATTAAACTTAGTAACAGCAAAAAAGAGGGACTGATCTTTTTTATACCCAAAGTGATAAGACATCTCTATTATTTTTTAAAAGGAACAAATGTTATTAGGCCAGTACACTTCAATAAAAATGCTAATAATAAGTCACAAAGTCATCTATGATTACATGCCTTCACGGTATTTGTTCTACTTAGGAAGACATGACCTGACAGGAAAGGCTTGGGTAGGGGTGCCTGGGTGGCTCAGTCGTTAAGCGTCTGCCTTCGGCTCAGGTCATGATCTCAGGGTCCTGGGATCGAGCCCCGCATCGGGCTTCCTGCTTGGCAGGGAGCCTGCTTCTCCCTCTCCCACTCCCCCTGCTTGTGTTCCTTCTCTGGGTGTGTCTCTCTCTGTCAAATAAATAAATAAAATCTTAAAAAAAAAAAAAAAGAAAAGGCTTGGGTACCTGACTCATTTGTGAAAAATTATTCTCAAGTTTACCAATTCAAATTATTTCCTCCTAGACTTCCTGTTTGGTTCCAAAATGTCTTATATGGTTTTAAGAAGTTTTTCCTTCTTTCAAAGCAATCCCACATCTTGCTCTTTATATTATAAAAACTGATACAAACTTTTAATCTACCACAACACTAATACCTAGTCACAAATTGTGTAGGAACCAGCATACACTCTTTACATCTCCAAATAGACTAGTATTCTCAACTGGAATCATCACTTTCCTGTCATCATACAATTAATGAAAAAAGGTATAGAGATCACCAATTAAGAAGAGTTGATATGTCAATCACTCCATTAGTAATGCAAAGAACACAATACAGAGAATACAGCTTGCCTTGACTTCTTGCACAGGGACTACTCTGTTGCCTACATTTTTTTCTATTTCTTTCTCTTTAAGATTTTATTTTTAAGAAATCTCTATACCCCATGTGGGGCTCAAACACACAACTACGAGATCAAGAGCTGCATGCTCCACTGACTGAGCCAGCCAGACACCCCGCTATTTCTCGAATGTTACCAAATATATCACCATATACCAAAGACAGAGGACGATTCAATTACCCATCCATTTCAGCAAGAAGTTGATTTATAGTCTGCCTTGAATATGGGTGCATTGGAGACTCAATTCGCTTCCCACCAACAGAATCTAATTCATCAATAAATATAACACAGGGAGCATTTGCTTTTGCTTCCCCTAGGAAAAGAGAAAAGATTCAAGTAAGTTTAATGAAATCAATACTTTTTGAACAAAATCATGTAAGTATTAAAAACCTGTAAGCCTGTCAAAAGCCAACAGAAGACATTCATTAAGGAGAAAATACACAAAAGGAGATCTTTCTTTCTTTTAAAACTGACATAAGAACAGTAGCCTCGGGAAAAAAAACTGTACCATAGAAAATGATATATAATAAAAACTAAGTATTCATTCTTCCACTGTACAAACCATATACAATCAGACTGGAGGCTAATTATTCTTTAATTACATGCTATTGAATTGATGAATAAGATAAAAAGGATAACAACAACAACAAAAAAAACCCAGCTTTTCAACAGGCCCCAACCTCATCTAACACTTCTAGCTCTTCTATTTGGGGAAAAAGCACGGTTCTGTTTTAGCTCACACATTAAATTACCTAAAACCAAAACCCCACAATGGCTAGGTCAGCTATCAGTCATAATCAAGTAGGAAATAAAAGGTAAGAAGCCCTCTTTCCCTTAAATTAACAAAATTTCGTATTATATGAAAGATACATTAAAACATACTAAATAGATTTCTGATACGGCTGGCTCCCACACCCACAAACATTTCATCAAATTCTGATCCAGAAGCATAATAAAAAGGAACATCAGCTTCTCCAGCCACAGCTCGAGCAAGAAGTGTCTTCCCTGTCCCTGGTGGTCCAACTAAAAGTATTCCTAAAAGAAAAAATAAATAGAATGGGTCAAATTAAAAAATAAAAATAAACCCTGATGTGAACCTATAAAAGTTATTAATTAATGTATATATAGTTTTGAGGTTGAAGGCACATGACCAATATTTTGAAACAAAACATACGTCTCTACTAATGATTCACTTCAGGATCTTCAAAACTAATTTTTCTCTACCATTTCTATCTTGAGCGAATGGAATATAATAAACTTATTTATCACTAAACAAGATAAAACTCACATAAACACAGATTAAGAGATTAAACAACCAAATGTGACACATGAACCCTTGACTTGATGCTCTTCCATAAAAAACATTTAAGAAATTCTAGGGACATCTGATGCAAATTTGAAAAAATATTGGAGTACAAGATATTAAGGAAATAGTATTTAGTTTTATTTGGTAGGATAAATTATTCTCTTTAGGATAATGTCCTTAGTCTTAGGTGATACACAGCAAAGTATTTAGATGTATAAAGTAATTAATGTCTACAGCTTTGTAACTATTCCATATGTTTGAAAATCTTCCTAACAGCAGTATGTTTTTCATAAGTGGGAATAACAGAATTCTCTGGTTTCCACAACTTTTCATTTTTCATGTAAAAAAAAAAACTGTATTAATGCTATATTTTAACATAAAACTCTTTTTAAAGGAAAGTTGCTGAAAAATACCCTTAAGACTATCCTCTTGTATTGCCATGTTATTGTTACTCTTAGCTGGTTTAAATCATCATATCAATTTCTGTAGGATCTATTTTGGTACCTGAGAATTTTCCCACAATTTTATAAAATATCCCTTGTGATTAGAAAAAGTGTAACTACTTTATGACTTTAAACGTGTTCTTTATGATGTTATAGTATTGACTTTAATAAATGAATCCCAAATTAGCAGAGATTCATGCAAACATTTTTATATACTGCTGAACACTGTCAGTAGAGATAGTGGGCAGCATAAAAACAAACCTTAAATATGAGTCCCCCCTTTAACTCACCAATTCCATTTCTAGAATTGGAATCTAGAATAATAAAAAAATAAATAAATGAGTAAATATAGAATTTATTCTAAGGAGATAATTAAGCATGTGGGCAAAGCCTTGAGATATTAAGATGATTATCACAGTGCTGATTTTATTATTTTAATTAAAAACTGTTTTAGTTGATACACAGTTACATTAATTTCAGATGTACAACATAGTGATTTGACAAGTTTATACATTATGCTGTGCTCACCACAAGTGTAGCTACCATCTGTCACCATACAATACTATTACAGTATCACTGACTATATTTCCTATGCCTTTTATTCCTCTGACTTACCCATTCGACAACTGGAAGCACGTTTCTCCCTTTCCCCTTCACCCATTTTGCCCAGCCCTCACATTGCTAATTTTAAGAGCAAAACATTGGAAACCATAAAAGTTTAATATAAGTGGTTAAAGTATAGTACAATCCTACGGTACAAGGACACCACAAAGTCATTACAATCTTGTACCCAGTTCCAGCATACGGTTTTCCCTCACACCCACAAACAGTTCTCCAACACCAGATGGGCATCTTAATATTCAACTCAATTCTCATGCTACCTACCTGGAGATAGCATCAAATACTGTAAGTTAAGGACTTGGTCCCAAAAGACGGCCTCTATCCCCAACCCTCACCATGTCATCTGCAAGACCAGGTTGTTACCTGTGCTTCTGACTGACATATCATAGACAGGAGGTTCCAGGGACCCCTTTCTTGGATTTGATTAATTTGCTAGAATAGCTCAAAGAACTCAGAGAAACATTCTACTTACTCGATTACTGGTTTATTATAGAAGGATACAATTCAGGAACAGTCAGTCAGATGGAAGAGATGCATAGGGCAAGGAAAGGGAAAAGGATTGCTGAGCTGCTATGCCCTCTCTGGATATGCCACTCTTCCCACATCTCCACATGTTCACCAACCTAGAAGCTCTCTGAATCCTATCCTTTTGGGTTTTAGTGGAGGCCTCATTACATAGGCATGACTGACTCAGCCTCCAGCCACTCTCCCCTCCTAGTCAGGAGGGTAAGACTGAAAGTTCCAGCCCTCTAATCACATGGCTGATTCTCCTGGCAACCAGCTCCTAACCTTAGGTGTGTTCTAAAAGTCGCCTCATCAACACAACAGAAGACAAATCTATTGCTGTCATCACCATGAAACTACAAGAATGGGACTAACACTAAATATATATTTCTTATTATAAATCACAAGAGTCATTAAAAATCATATTAACTGTGAGAAAACATGAGACAAAGGCAAACCGAGGAACATTCCACAAATTAGTATGTATTCTGCACAATTTTTAAGGTCATGAAAGATCCACACACACTCCCATAAGAAAAGGCTGAGGAGGTGAGCCTGGGTGGCTCAGTCAGTTAAACATCCGACTTCGGCTCAGATCACGATAAGGTCGTTAAGACTGAGCCCCACGTGGGGCTCCACACTCAGTGTCTGCTTTAGATTCTCTCTCCTCCTGCCCTCCCCCAGACCAACTCCTGTGCTTGCATGTGTGCTCACTCTCTCACATAAGTAAATGGACAGATAGCTAGCTAGCTAGACAGACAGACAGAAAGACAGACGGGCAGGCTGAGGAATTTTTTCAGGTTAAAAGAAAAATCTAAGGGTGCCTGGGTGGCTCAGTAGGTTAGGCAGCCAACCCTTGATTCTGGCTCAGGTCATGCTCTCAGGCTCCTGGGATTGAGCCCCATGGCTGCTCTGCACTCAGGAGGGAGTCTGCTTGAGGATTCTCTCTCTCCCTCTGCTCCTCCCCCCACCTGCTCTACCTCTCTCTCTCTTTCTCTAAAACAAATTGATTTAAAAAAAAAGATTAAAGAAAAATCTAAATGTGTAAACCTGGATTGAGTCTAAACCTGGGGTTGGGGGTGGGGGATGGGAGGACCCCACTACAAAAGATATTATTAAGAGAAATGCAGAAATTTGAATATAACTGAATTTCATCATAGTTCTGAAACCATGTTAAATTTCCTCATTTTAATAACTATGTTGGAGTTACATAATAGAATTTCTTTTTTTTTTTTTAATTTTATTCTTATGTTAATCCCCATACATTACATCATTAGTTTTAGATGAAGTGTTCCATGATTCATTGTTTGTGCACAACACCCAGTGCTCCATGCAGAATGTGCCCTCCTCAATACCCACCACCAGGCTAACCCATCCTCCCACCCCCCTCCCCTCTAGAACCCTCAGTTTGTTTTTCAGAGTCTATCGTCTCTCATGGTTCGTCTACCCCTCCGATTTCCCCCGCTTCATTCTTCCCCTCCCGCTACCTTCTTCTTCTTCTTTTTTTTTTCTTAACATATATTGCCATAATAGAATTTCTTATTTATAGGAAATACATAATGAGGTATTTGGGGTTAAAGGAGCATGATATCTACAATTTACTCTTAAACAGTTTAAAAATACATTTATGTAGCAGCGCCTGGGTGGCTCAGTCGTTAGGCATCTGCCTTCAGCTCAGGTCATGATCCCAGGATCCTAGGATCGAGCCCCACATCGGGCTCCCTGCTCAGTAGGAAGCCTGCTTCTCCCTCTCCCACTCCCCTGCTTGTGTTCCCTCTCTCGCTGTGTCTCTCTCTGTCAAATAAAGAAAATCTTAAAAAAAAAATACATTTATGTAAAGAAAGTGAGCAAATGGGACAAAGTGCTAAAAAACTATTGAGTTTTGTTAAGAGTACAGAGAGTTCTCTGCACTATTCTCACAACTGAAATTGTTAACAAAACTCAAAATCCCCTTCCCCTCAAAAAAGGTTATACAACGTTCAGAATGAAGACTTATTTGTAAAATAGCAATTAAGAACTAAACTTTAAGCTTTTAAATTGGTAAAGATTAAATTAGTAATGGATTACAGTATTTTTTTGACGTCAAGTCATGGTAAAGGGAAGATATCTTACCTTTTGGAAGTTTACCTCCAAGCACGGTAAATTTTTGTGGATTTTTCAGGAATTCAACAACCTCCTGTAATTCTTGTTTAGCTTCCTCCACCTAAAGTGATATAATTTATCAAACAATTTTAAGTAATGATTAGATTATCAAGGCCTCCTCTTTGAAAATAGTAAATTTAACTGGAAATTAACTTGAAGGCTCCCTTATAAATGCACACACAAAAGGGATTTCACCCAACTCTTTTTGCCAATTATGCGGTCTCCTTACATATCTCAACAAAAAACATTAACTTCTTACATTTTTTTTTAAGATTTTATTTATTTATTTGACAGAAAGAGACACAGCGAGAGAGGGAACACAAGCAGGGGGAGTGGGAGAGGGGGAAGCAGGTCTCCCGCAGAGCAGGGAGCCCGATGCGGGGCTCGATCCCAGGACTCTGGGATCCTGACCTGAGCCGAAGGCAGACGCTTAATGACTGAGCCAGCCAGGTGCCCCAACTTCTTACATTTTCAAGTAGTGCTTCCCCCAGTTAACAAGGACTTATATTCACAACTCTAGTTGAATGTGTCAGCGGCATTTGGTATCAACAGAAAGACTCACCTACCAAGTTTCAAATCCAGAACTTTTGACCTGGTTTATAAGCTTCAAGGGCAAATTATGTGAGCTTAATACATATCAATGAAAAGGGAGTCTGTGTTTAAGTTATAACATTAATTTATGATTAATTATTAGATTATTTTCATTATAAGGAATTACCACTAGATTATAAATGACTTAGTTCCTTACAAATGCCAAAGGGTGGAGACTAAAATTAAGCCAAAGTGCACGGATACTGCTTTGTAAATGGTTCTGGCAAAAAATGTTCAAAAGATTTAATCCCCCAAATACAAAAACCATGTAGAATTAAGGTCTCTCGCAAGAATAAAGCCCAATCTGGTCAAGAAAGATGGCATGTAGAGTATTAGCTCAACTTTAAAAACTCTGATATAAGATTAAGAAAGCTGCCTATCAGGGGTGCCTGGGCGGCTCAGTTGGTTAAGCGTCTGCTTTCGGCTCAGGTCATAATCTCAGGGTCCCTGGATATCAGGCCCTCCACTCAGTGGCAGATCTGCTTCTCCCTCTCCCTCTATGATCTCTCTCTCTCAAATAAATAAAAATCTTAAAAAAAAAAAAAAAGCTGCCTATCAGAAATTAGTTAGCATACAACCAGAAGTAACAAATACAAGTACCTAGAGCCAGAATGATATCAAAGATGAGTGCAGAAGACCAGATATAAAATAACAGTGGTGGCAGTATGCTGAACTGGAAAGCAAAGACCCTTAGAGAGGACAAACCACCATGACTTGGCTCTACCACAGAATATAGACCTAGTGTTCTAGACTTCAATTTTTCAAGAAAAAAACAGACATTAAAAATGTTAGCTATCAATTTAAATTAAAAGCACATTTATGTGTGTACTTTCATGTATTTATTTTGAATTACACTGGCCTAATCATACATTTGTAGCCAATTTGCAACCCTACATTAGACAACTTTAAATAGTTCTCAGTGGGAAAAAAAGAACTCAAGTACATTGGTCAGGGTTAAAAAGAAACTACCTGACAAGAAGTGTACTAAAACATGAAACATCTCTGGGCTGAAGGGCATTATTAAAATCTAGAATTAAACTCATGACTCTCTTAGATTCCTAGATAATTTTCTAGGACGATTTCTAGGAAGTATACAATCATTAAAGAGTAAACAGTTTTTAAAATTAGGCTTAGAATAGTCTTTGAAAGTTATTGATTACATTATTAAAACTTAATAAAATGTTTGTAAAGTTAACAGTTGTAAGTAAAGCTCTGTCCACTCCTAAGGAGAAATGCGTACATATGTTCACCAAGAAACGTAAAAAAAATTCACAATAGCACTCTTTAGGCCAAAACTAGGAACAACCCAATTTCTACCTAATGTGGAATATACAATATTGTGATATTCATAGAATACTATGCAATGGGAATGAATGAAGTACAACTTTATGTAAAAACATGGATGGATCTCACAAACATCATGTTGAGTGAAAGAAGCCATATACACTATGTAAAATTCAAAAGCAGGCCAAATTAATGTATGTTATGAGACAGAACAATGATTATGCTTGCAGTGGGAAAAAGGGACACTAGGAAGTTTCTGGTAATATTTTATTTCCTGAGCTGGGTGCCAATAATATACTGAGTTCACTGTGTGAAAATTTATTAAGGTATAGATTTGTGATTTGTGCAGTTTTGTGTGAATGCTAAGCTTCAATAAAATTTATGTTTATAAAGAGATTTGGGGGGCACCTGGGTGGCTCCTGGGATCGAACCCCACATTGGGCTCCCTGCTCAGCGGGATTCAGCTTCTCCCTCTCCCTCTGCCCCTCCCCCACTCGTGCTTGCTCTCTCTCTCAAATAAATAAAAATCTTTAAAAATATATATGTATATACATATAAAAGAGATTTGGCTCTTTATCTATTAAAATAAGCTTTTTAAACATTCAAAGATACCCATATACTAAAAGAAGGCCAAAGTACATTTGGTCAAGGTAACAAATAACTTTCCATTGGAGGAAAAGGAAAACAAATTAGCTGTCACCTACTAATCAAACTACATTTTCTCTGCCCAAACTCTGTGTCAGGAAAATTACCAATTGAGGTATATAAAATCTATACAGGAAAATAGAGTTTAGGGAACAAGGCAATGAATAAAGTTATAAAAGCCCTTATTAGTATTTTTATGGCAGCTATATATAAAATTATTCCTACATAACCAGAAATTCTAGGCAAGGAAATGACATTCCTATACTAGCTCTTTAAGATTTGGTAAAACTGATCACAGGTACCACCTACTGGCATACCTATTTTAGTAAATGTTATAAATTACTTTGGTGTACATAAATTTAGATTTTATAGCAATGAGAGCAATATAAAATTATAACAGTAATTATATTTGTTTAGATTAGCACAGGAAACTGTGACAATCTAAAAACTTTGTGATGTCCCCATTTCTAGTATTATCAGCATGTCTTCTTTAGCTTCGTAATCAGAACTGGACTCATTCCAAAAGAAGTGTAGTATATTGAGTAACTGAAGTATATACATTGCAGGGAGAAAGTAAGAATGCCTTGCTGACCATAATCTCAGCACAGGTTCAATGTAGAGCAGGCTGACTGCACATCTTAAACAAAATGGGAAGAGCCCTCTGCACTAATGAGTCAAGTTTTCAAATACTCACTGCACTAACCTCTTCCCCAATTATTCTCTTTCTGCAACTCCAAGAGGGTTCACAGCTGTTTAAATTGCAAAGGGAAGGGAAGGAATACTTGGTATAAAACTATCATAGTGACCCCTGATACTTAATTCCCTAATGGTCGAGGTTGTGAAAAATATTTATGCATAGATAGGGAAGAGTGTGGAAAAAGGAAGAGCTCTCATTCTATTCTATATTAAAGTGGCCTTTTTATTGGTCGGCAAACAAGTCAGGCACATTAACTCTTCAGGATCTTTTTCTCTCTTTCTCTGGCTAGAAGTGTTCTTTGCTCAAATACATGCATGGTTTAGGCACACCTGGCTGCCTCAGTCAGTAAAGCATGTGATTCTTGATCACAGGGTTGTAAGTTCGAGCCTCACATTGGGTGTACAGATTACTTAAAAATAAAATCTTATAGGGCGCCTGGGTGGCTCAGTTGGTTGGGCGACTGCCTTCGGCTCAGGTCATGATCCTGGAGTCCCAGGATCGAGTCCCGCATCGGGCTCCCTGCTCAGTGGGGAGTCTGCTTCTCCCTCTGACCCTCCCCCCTCTCATGTGCTCTCTCTCTCTCTCTCTCTCTCATTCTCTCTCTCAAATAAATAAATAAAATCTTTAAAAAAATAAAATAAAATCTTATAAAAAAAGATACATGCATGGTTTACCCCATCATCTTCAAATCTTCACTGAAATGTCACCTTCTCAGTCAATCATACACTGAATCCATCCCCATTTAAAACTGTGACCTTTCTCTCAAAACTCCCAATCCTCTTTATGCTGCTCCGTCTTTCTCCCATCACTTTTGAACATACTCTAGTATTTCCTTATATACAATATCATGGTCTAGTTTCTGTTAGAACTAAAAATCCATGACAGCAGAGATTTATTTATTCTATCCCAGTATCTAAAAGAGGTCTGGAGAATATGCGGTGAAGCTAAAAGGTCCAAGGTTCTAATCATGGCTTGGTCTGTTCTAGTGTCCAGCCCCGATTCAGAAGCCCACCCAGAGTGGCCTCAGTACAAAAGACAGTGCTATCACCCAGGAAATTCCTAGGGACTTAGAAGCCCTGTGTTAGACATCAGGATCAAAGACCAAACTATAGAACCAAAGATGCACCCAATGCTCTTGTCACTTAGGGAATTACAAGAGTTTTAGCGCCTGGAACTGGAGGTAGAGACAAATATATATTTATTTTCTATTTTACACCTTTAAAATCAAATACTGGCCTTACATAATTAGATAATAGAGAGTAGGGTAAATTTTTTAACTTACTCCTTTAACATGTTCAAAGGTGACATTTTTCATCTGGACAGGATCTACTGCAGAATCAAGCCCCGTTGTTGTCCGGAAGCGGACTAAAGAAGAAAAAAAAGAAATGTTTATATATTTCATAGATTCATAAAATTCCAACCACCTTATTATTCAGAGGTAAGAAAGTAGAGAAAAAAAATAATATATTTAAGTATTACATACATACATTCATAGTGAAGTAACAGAAAGTACATCTTCTGGATTTCTAGACCATGTTCAAGGAATAAATGACTCACATTAAAATGACATCTTTATACCTTCCAATTAAAATGAAAACTTGGGGCGCCTGGGTGGCTCATTGGTTAAGCGATTGCCTTCGGCTCAGGTCATGATCCCGGAGTCCCGGGATCGAGTCCCGCATCGGGCTCCCTGCTCGGCAGGGAGCCTGCTTCTGCCTCTGACCCTCTCCCCTCTCATGTGCTCTCTCTCTCTCGTTCTCTCTGTCTCAAATAAATTTAAAAAAAAATCTTTAAAATGAAAAATTATTTCCCTCTTCTATAATATCTAACAAGAGAAATTTACACCAATCATTCTCAAACTCCACCGTGCCTAAAAATCACTTGAGAAATGTAGTAATGCAAGTTCCCAGGCCATGGCCCAGAATTTCTGGTTGGTAGATTTAGGAAAAGGCCCAGGAGTTTGCAGTTAAAGATTTTATTTCTTTATTTGACAGAGAGATTGAAAGTACAAGCAGGGGGAGTGGTAGGCAGAGAGAGGGAGAAGCAGACTCCCAGCTGAGCAGGGATCCCGATGCAGGGCTCGATCCCAGGACCCTGGGATCATGACCTGAGCCGAAGGCAGACGCTTAACCAACTGAGCCACCCAGGTTGCCCCAGGAGTTTCCATTTTTAACAACCACTCTAAATTATCCTGATACAACTGGTCAGGGATGCACACCATGAAATACATTGCCTTAAACCTAGCATAAGAACTGGCACTGGCTTTTTTTTTAAAAAAAGGGTAAACCTTAAAAGAGATTATTTCACTTTTCATGTAGCCTCCTCCTCTAGCAACTGTTATTACTTGCCCTCAGATGATATATGTCAGTAATGACATCATTAAGAAAGTGAAAGTTTGGGGGCGCCTGGGTGGCTCAGTTGGTTAAGCGACTGCCTTCGGCTCAGGTCATGATCCTGGAGTCCCTGGATCGAGTCCCGCATCAGGCTCCCTGCTCGGCAGGGAGCCTGCTTCTGCCTCTGACCCTCCCCCCTCTCATGTGCTCTCTCTCTCTCATTCTCTCTGTCTCAAATAAAAAAAAAAAAGAAAGTGAAAGTTTGGAAGGAGAGTAAAATACTTAGAATGAACTACAGAGAATTATTACAAAGCTTTCTTAAAATCTCTCCCCTTTGGTTAAACTTCCCTACTAAAAAGATGTAAGTGAGTAAATAGAGCAATTTCTAATTTCCTCAGAAGACAAAAAATATTGTCTTTAAGACAGAAATTTAGATGCAAAAAGAATCAACAGGCAAAATATACAGTTTTGTTGAAAACACTTAGCATATCAAGAATATACAAGTTAGGGGTGCCTTGGGTGGCTCAGTCGTTAAGCGTCTGCCTTCGGCGCAGGTCATGATCCCAGGGTCCTGGGATTGAGCCCCGCGTCGGGCTCCCTGCTCGGTGGGAAGCCTGCTTCTCCCTCTCCCACTCCCCCTGCTTGTGTTCCCTCTCTCGCCGTGTCTCCCTCTGTCAAATAAATAAATAAAATCTTTAAAAAAAAAAAGTTGGAAGAGCAAATGTAATATAGTAATTCTACAATGGACACTAATAGTTTTAGCCCACTAAATTGTTTATTCAAGGATCTACACAGATGGGCTTAATAAATAATGCAAATTAAATTTGTAGCCAAACCACTTGAAACTTATAAGAAATTATAAGGCAATGTACTTCATATTTTGATATATATTTTGCTTAATGGAAAAAATTAAGAAACATAAAATAGTAACCACAGCTAATCCCACCCCTCCAATATCACACAGTGTCCCTACACTGGTTCTGTTTTGAAAATAAGTAGACAAAAGAAGATGACTCTAGCTATATAAAGAATATTCTGGGGCGCCTGGGTGGCTCAGTCAGTTAAGCGTCTGCCTTTGGCTCAGGTCATGATCTCAGGGTCCTGGGATCGAGTCCCATATGGGGAGCCTGCTTCTCCCTCTGCCTGCCGCTCCCCCTGCTTGTGCTCTCTCTGTCAAATAAATAAAATCTTTAAAAAAAATAAAAATAAAAAATAATATTCCTGGATGTTAAAATCTCATCTCAGGTTTTATTCCACAAAAAAACTTAAAATACTGGGGTTACATGCAAATTCTGGGATAAAGTCCTGATCCAGATCAACTGATATTCTTTAATTGTATACCAGTTTTTTTCTCTCAAGGTAATCAATCATAAAGACCATAGAGAACCCAGGGTAAAAACCGAAGAGCTGAGAATGCAACAGGAACCACTTAAAATGGACATTATTCATTTTAGACTGGCAAACTGAGAAAATATGAGACTCATTTAAGGCAATTTTTAATTGTATACTAAATTTGTATATATATATATTTTTAAGATTTTATTTATTTATTTGAGAAGGGGAGAGAGAAAGCACACAAGTGGGAGGAGGGGCAAGGCAGAGGCAGAAGCAAACTCCCCACTGAGCAGGGAGCCCAATGTAGGGCTCGATCCCAGCATCCTGGAATCATGACCTGAGCCGAAGACGGACGCTTAACTGACTGAGCCACCCAGGCGCCCCAAATTTTTATGTATTTATATATTATACATAAATTTTCATAAATTTATTAGTGTGTCTTTGAAATAGGGGACTATTTCACTTTGTATTGCTATTATAAAATTCTTCTATAAAATTGGACAGGTATAACTTTCTAAAAGTCTAGAAAAAGAACCACTAATAGAAGCTAATCTAACATTTTTGCTATAACATAATCCTTGGAACTTTAACAAAATATTATTGTCTCAAAAATAAAACTTGAAATATGTACAGTGTCTGAAGGAACTTTTCCTGTAATCCACAAAGCAATGTAAATATAATGAGCCCTGAGAATGCAGATGGCATATAACCATAATAGATTAAAACTTTTCTACTTTAATGCAAAAAAGCAATCTCAATTGACCCAATCTGTGAAGTGCTGACTTAGGAAAGAAAGGCCTAGACACTAGAATGGTAAATGCTTCCTCTCTCCTAAGTCTAAGGCAGACTAACTATGAAAAAAAAAAATTGAGTATTTAAAAGATACAAAAAAAAAGTCAGATAAATGAAAAGAGCCTTTACCAGATAAAAATGTTTTTTTTAAGAGTCCATAAATGCCAAATAGCAGCAGAACGAAGAGAATCAGACGAGTTCGTCTCAGAGAATCTGGAGGAGAAAAAAAAAAAACCTTAAATCAAATGACAACAATGACAAGTGACAGCTTGATGAAAAGTAAGCATTAGGTTATTGATAGTAATCATATTCTATCACATGCAATTTTGGAACCTGGCATTCCTTTGTATAATTGCCATGATTTCCTTTCAGCACCCTGTGACCAAAAACCTCATCAAGGCACTCATGCTTCTGTCCTTGACGTTGCTTCTCATTTGAGAAAAGGGAGAGTGCCAATAGATTTTCCATTTTGACACAGCTTAAGTTACAAATATAATGGAATACAACCAATGAAAAGGTGCATACTTGTTAGAAAAAATATTTGTAATCACTTAAAGGTAGGACTATGACTTCCTTTTAGATATTCTTCCCAAATATGGATGGTGTCAAATCAACTTACCATTGGTTTTTTGCATTAGTGCTTGAGCTTTCAGAAAACCCTCTGCAAAACCAGTTTTAAATGCATCTTGGTGAGCTTCAGGTATATTTTTGGTTTTCATGAGTTTGTCCAAACTCTCAACATCTGATCCTCTGTCCCGCAAAAGGAACCCCTAAATACACAAACAATGCATCAGTACTGACTATATAGATAACACTGCCCAACAATATAATGATCACTCACAAAAAAATTCATTCAAAAACTCTAGAATTTCTAATTTTTATTGTCCATCAGAAGAATTACACTAAGATTCAACAATAAATTACTTAATCAATGGCTAAGAAACTAACTTTGGACTTTACACTTGCATCAATCAATTAATATAAAGGAACTCTCTGTAAGAATACTATACTGAAAACAATAGGTCACCTGTGGACTTTAGGGTTCTAATGGTTTGATGTTCACACTCCTTTATCTCTACTAGACAAAAAACCTCATTAAGTTATTAAATGTTTACTGAGTACCTTTTATATACTTGGCCTTGTGTAAGTTCTGAAAATGTAAAGATAAATAACCAATGATCTGAATGTTCTCAGTCTACTAGGGAGAGATACACAAATAACTAATTTTTTGAAATCATTTTGATATTATGTTAGAAGTTCTAGGTCTGGGGACACCTGGGTGGCTCAGTCGGTTAAGCATCCGACTCTTGCTTTCGGCTCAGGTCATGATCTCAGTCATGGGATCAAGCCCAACATTGGGCTCTGAACGCAGCAAGGAGTCTGCTGAAGATTTCTTCCCCTTTCTTCCCCGCCCCCACCCTGCTCCTCTCCCGCTCGCATGCATTCTCTCTCAAATCAATCAATAAATAAAGTCTTAAAAAAAAAAAAAGAGGTTCTAGGTCTGGTGGTAAAATAAATGCTACCTCAGGAAGCTAGGAAAGGCATTACAGAGAAATAGGATTTCTAAACCAAAGGAAATGCAAAGCATAAACAATCTGACATAGCCATGAAGTAAAAGGCTTTAGCACTCAGGAACTGCGAGCTATCTTTTATGACACGACTTTAAAATGCCAAGAGACAAGTAGAGTAGAGGTTCAGAAGGAGTGCCATATTAAAGATAAGAACAGAAAAATGATAGGCAGAGGCCAAATGGATACTACAGCAGGAATCTGACAATAAATCAGAGGAATATATTACATTAAAACATTTTAGACAGATGGTGGGTTGGTGGCAGTCTGAAAGCTGGACTGAAGGTAACAAAACTAAAGGCAAGGAGACTAAGGGGCGCCTGGGTGGCTCAGTAAGTTAAGCATCCGACTCAACTTCCACTCAGGTCATGATCTCAGAGTCGTGAGATCAAGCCTCACGTCGGGCTCCGTGCTTGGTCGGGCTCCATGCTTGGTCGAGCTACACCCACTGATGATTTATACACCCACAGAGTCTGCCTGAGATTCTCTCTCTCCCTCTCCCTGCCCCTCCCAAAATCCGTCCCTGTGCGCTCTCCCTCTCTAATAAATTCTTTTAAAAAAATAAAGGCAAGGAGACTAAATGAATGTTTACTAGAGTCCTTTAGGCAAGAAATGGTTATACTCCATCTATGCAGTGGAACTGGGAATGAAAAGAGACAGATCTAAGAAATATTTAAGAGGCTGGATCAATAGGACTTTAGTGATTAATGGATGTGATGATTAATGGATGTGACAGGAGAGAAAAGATGAACAAATCAAAGTTGATCAACAGGTTTCTAGCTTGGGTGGATGCTATTCTAGAGAACATACAGGTAGATGTGTAGGAAAAAAAAAACAAAAGGAGATGTCTAATAGGCCAAAGGAGAGACATGACTGGGGCACTCAGAAGAGTTGTAGGTGTAATGATTACACAGGTAATTAATCCTTTAGAAAATCAACTGACCAATAAAAGAAATCAGATATTGAATGTTCTCATTTTAATAATTTGAAAATTACTGCTTTTTCAAACAACAAAAAATGTCTAATTACCTTTACAAATGATGGTGTTATATGCTGTGTCTCTGTCAATCTTTCAGAGGTGGACTGTAAACGTCGAGTTCTTGATTTCAAAGTTTTAAAACCCCGAGACTGTATGAAAACTGAACAGAACAGTATCACATTTACTTCTCGTTGCACATTTTTATAAGAAAAATGACTAGGATTCAAAACTGACACCAAGCCCATACAACCTAAGTTTATTATCCCATTTTTTAACATAGTCCTTTGCCTGACATTTCACTACCCTGGTAATTAGAGTCATTAAAATGGATTGAATCTATAAAATAACTGTATAGTCTCTTGGTAATTTTAAAATGTGAAAAAAAAAAAACAAACAAACCCACTGATGAGTATCAAATAAAAGTCAGTGTCTAATTCCTCAAACCCCAATCCCACTTCCCCAGAAGTGACCACTGTTAACAATTTCACGACTGGGATGCCTGGGTGGCTCAGTCAGTTAAGTGTCCGACCCTTGATTTCAGCTCAAGTCTTGTTCTCAGGGTTGTGAGTTCAAGCCCGCACTGGGCTGCACACTGGGCATGGAGCCTACTTTAAAAAAAATTTTAAATGAAAGAATAAAAGTTTTGAAGAATGCCTGGGTGGCTCAGTCAGTTAAACGTCTGCCTTTGGTTCAGGTCATGATCCCAGGGTCCTGGGATCAAGTCCCACACAGGGCTCCCTGCTCAGCAGGGAGTCTGCTTCTTCCTCTGCCTGCAGCTTCCCAAGTTTGTACGCTCTCTCTGACAAATAAATAAAATCTTAAAAAAAAAAAAAAAAGCTTTAAAGAATAAAAGCTAAGGGATGCCTGGGCAGCTCAGTTGGTTAAGCGTCTGCCTTCGGCTCAGGTCATGATCCCAGGGTCTTGGGATCGAGTCCCGCATTGGGCTCCTTGCTCGGTGGGGAGCCTGCTTCTCCCTCTGCCTGCCGCTCCCCACTTGTGCTCATTCTCTCTCTGACAAATAAATAAATAAAATCTTGAAAAAAAAATAATAAAATAAAGAATAAAAGCTTTGAAAAACAATTTCATGACTACACTTCTATGTATTTAAACATATGCTCTTTCTATAAAAATAGTATATAATTTTTTGCAATTATCTTCTTGCACTTAACAAGAAATATTATCACGGATATTTTTCAGAACAGGTCAGATAGTACATTCAATTTAATGGCTGTTAATATTTTTCCAATTTATCAGTGTATAGCAATTTGAATATTCAACCACTTTTCTACTATGGACATTAGTTGTTTCCTGTTTTCTTATTGCTAAAAATGGTTCAGTTAAAATTCTTTCAGCATGTGTAGACTAAATTCTTAAAAGTGAAACCATGAGGTCTGAATTATTTAACACTAAGAAACTGCCCTCTAAAAGGTTGTTATTGATTTATACACCCACTGATGAATAGGAGTATCCTTTACTCCACATCCTTTGCAACACAGATTAATATACATTTTTAAAAAATTTTTAAGGATTTTATTTATTTGTCAGAGAGAGCACAAGCAGCGGGAGCAACAGGCAGAGGGAGAAGCAGGCTCTCTGTTGAACAGGCAGCGCGATGCGGGACTCGATCCCAGGACCCTGGGATCATGACCTGAGCTGAAGGCAGCCGCTTAACTGACTGAGCCACCCAGGCGTCCCTATAAATTTTTTTAATTTGTACAGATCTGATAGGCAAAAAGCAGTGTCTTGTTTTAATTTGTATTTCAGATTAGAAATGAGGGAAAATTTTGAAAAACACTTACTTTCCTTGAATATTTTCTTTAGTAAATTGTTAATCACTCATAACCTTTCCCATTTTCATGAATAAAAGGATGCGTGCTATGTATACTAACTTTAAGGCACATATATTTGAAACATTTAATGCCTTGTCTTTGTATGCAGCAATTTATAAAGTTAATATAGTTTTATCTTTTAATCTTTAGTATTTTCTGCATTGTGTTTTGATTAGAGAGCCTCACCCCCAAACTGTGATTTTAAGAGTCTACTGGGGCACCTGGGTGGCTCAGTCAGTCGAGTGTCCAACTCTTGGTTTCGACTCAGGTCCTGTTCTCGGGGTCATGGGATCGTCAGACTCCACATTGGGCACGGAGTCAGCTTGGGATTCTACCTCTCCCTTTCCCTCTGCCCCTCCTCTCCCTCTCTTCCTCTCCAAATAAGTAAATCTTAAAAAAAAAAAAAAAAAGGAGTCTACTGACTTTCAACTTCATTCAGACCTTTACCTATTTGCAACTTTTTTTTTTAAGATTTTATTTATTTATTTGACAGAGAGATACATAGTGAGAGAGGGAACACAAGCAAGGGGAGTGGGAGAGGGAGAAGCAGGCTCCCCGCAGAGCAGGGAGCCGGATGTGGGACTTGATCCCAGGACCCTGGGATCATGATCTGAGTCGAAGGCAGTCGCTTAACCGACTGAGCCACCCAGGCGCCCTATTTGCAACTTTTTTAAGATTAAAAAAAGAATCTGATTCTCGTTAGGCCCAAGTTTATTTTTTTATTTTTAAGTAATCTCTACACCTGACTTGGGGCTTGAACTCACAACCCCAGATCAAGCATTGGATGTTCTACTGACTAAGCCAGCCAGGTGCCCCATTTTACACCCAAGTTTAAAATCAACTTCTTGGTTTTCATAGCAAGTGTTTAGGGTTTTGAACAGGGTTGCAGTGAATTAATAAATCTGGACGTAAATTAAAACTGTTACAGTACCGAGTCCTTTTAAAGAGGATTATGGCATTCTCTCATTTTATTTTACTCAGCTCTTGTATTTCCTTCAGTGAAGTTTCACATGCATATGTGTGTGTGTGTGTGTGTGTTTCTTGTCAGGATAAAAGGTTAAATGGGTTTGGAAGAAACTATAAATAAAATCCGTTGCTAGAATATAAGAAAGATACTGATTTTTACGCATTTATCTTATATGATACCAGAGTAGCCTTTCAGTTGATTTCCTTAAGTTTTCTGGTAAGCAAACATATTACCTGGTAAGCAAAAACAATTATAATTTTGCCCCTTCCATAAACTTCTATAACTCCTCTTTTTTTTTAAGATTTTATTTATTTATTTGACACAGAGAGAGCACAAGCAGAAGGAGCGGGAGAAGCGGGCTCCTGCTGAACGGGGAGCCTGATGCAGGACCCAATCCAGGACCCCGGGATCATGACCTGAGCCGAAGGTAGACACCTAACCAACTGAGCCACCGAGGTGCCCTCTATAACTCCTTTTAAAGCACATTGTTTAAAACTTCCAAATTACTCGTAACAAAAACAGGCTATACATATCTTATTTCCCATATTAATAAGATCCTAATAGATTTCCTTAATAAATTTTAAAACTTCCTATTCTAGTTTTCTACAACTTTGTAGGAAGTGTGACAATTAAAATCTATCACATGCCTTTTTCATACACTTGAAATAATATTGTTCTTTTCTAATCTATTAACATAAATTAACATACTCCTAATATTAAATCACTCATATTCCTTAATCATATTTTAGAGCACATTTCTGTACTTCCTTTTTCAGATTTTATTTAGGATTTCTGTATTTATATTATTACGTGAAATTGCAATCTATTATATTTTTTATGCTAATATTTTAGTATCAGTAATCTCGTGGAATAAACAGGAAAGCCTATTCTATTTTGGTCCTGGAAAACAGAACCCATAAACCATAAAACCATCTGAGCCTAGATGCCTCTGGGGCAACGGGGTTATATTTGAAAAATATTATCTTTCAAATTTTATAGTTACTGTCTTATGTCTCTTCTTGAGTCAATGTTGTTAATTTATAACTTGGATAATTGTTTCAACATGTTTTTATTTATACATACTCTTAAAAGTTTTAAATCTTCATTATCTGTGGCTGTTACCACTTTTCACTTCAATATTTTCACAATGTTTTTAATCAGACTGTTCTATTTTCTTGTTTTCTCAAATTAAATCTGTTCATTTAAGTATAACTTTCTTCGTGTTGTATTCATTTAATGTTTTATACATATTAATTTCTCACATTCATTTAAAGAATTCTCAAAATGAATGTTTAATCAATTTATTTTCTTTCTTATTTCCTAATAAATTATACAATGCCCTCATAGCATCAGTTGGCCCTCAACTCAAAGATTTTGATGTTGATTTTCACTGTGGTTCATTACTAATTGTCTGTAATTTCAGTTTCTCTTTCCCTCAGCCACAAGACACTTAGAAAAGTATCTTTAGGGCGCCTGGGTGGCTCAGTTGGTTAAGCGACTGCCTTCGGCTCAGGTCATGATCCTGGAGTCCCAGGATCGAGTCCCGCATCGGGCACCTTGCTCAGCGAGGAGTCTGCTTCACCCTGACCCTCCCCCCCCCCATGCTCTCTCTCTCTCTCTCTCATTTTCTCTCTCTCAAATAAAAAAAAAAAGTATCTTTAAATTTCCATAGAGTTAGGAATTTTTTAAGCTACCTTTTCTGTTATTTGATTTCAATATTATATGATCAGAGAACCTGACCCTGGGTTATAACTTTCTGAAAATTAAGATATTCCTTATACCCTAATACATGCTCAGTTTTTATAAGTCTTCCATGAAGACTTCCATTTGTAAATATATCATCCTTCTTTAAGAATTCTTCTGTCTTCTGCATTAACCATTTTTTTTCAGGGCATTACTGATCTCTGTGCCCTACTTGGCACCTCTCTTTCATGTTACAAGTTTTCCTCAACATGTGGAGATTCTTGCTGATCCAGTTGTAATTGTAAAGAGAATACAGTAATCAGTACTGATTGTAGATAGGTTTCCTCAAAACTACGAAGGTGGCATGGACTTATCATGAGTAAGCACGGTACATTTAGTGTATGATTCAGATCCATTATTTTTCCCCTTGGCCTCAATGCTCATACACAATCTTCAGAGACAGACTTCTCTACACACACACACACACACACACACACACACACCCTTTATTACCAATGTGTCTTGTGCCAATTGTAGCATAAAAGTTACAAGCCCTATCTACTCTGGGACTGGCCCACTTTTGGCAATCTTTCAGTTCACCTGTCATCCCAGAGCCCACTCTTATTGACTTGGAAATGGGGTTATTTCCTAACTCCTACCGGAAATAACAGCACACACCTCTTTTGTGTCACTCCACTCTAAGTTCCACGAAGGTGGGTAACATATGTCTTTTTCATTTATAATTATCACTGTTACCTAACAGCTATCAGTAGTGTCTGGTATTAAATAAATATAAATGTATGCATATTTGATTTTGCTATCAATGTGATGTCATCTATTTCTTACCTTATGGAAAGTCCTCAAATTTCTGATCCACTGATGAAACCCCTCTGCTGCTGCCCTGACTTTTTCTGCATTTTAAATTTTTTTCTGTCCTTACAGTTGATTGGAACAATTTTGAAAATGAAATTTTAAAAATATAGGGAAGTAAACAAATGTGCTTAGTTAATTATGTTGAAGGTATAGATAAGTTCCCTGAAGTTTGATTTACTGTGCCACTTATCACTCACATTCAAAATTCAGCTACTATATATTTTCCAAATTAAAAAATAAACATACCCAAACTAATTGACTCTAAATACTCTATCAGTTCTACCATGAGCTACAAATGACTGTTTATAACATTAATATGATTAAGAAAGATAAATCAGAATCTGTTAAATAAATCTATCATTTTTTTCAAAATAAATACAGTTGTTGTTTCATACCTGGCCAGCACTGAAGATCTGAACAAATACTTTTAAGAGTTCTTGAATGTTGTCTGTACAAGCAAGAGGAACGTAAAGTACGAAACATATCTAAGTAACCTGGAGGAAAATTGAAAAAAGTGAGTTTTCTATTTACCAAGCTACAAAAAAGTCACAAAATACAGTAATTTTACCAAATATTATAAAAACAAAAGTATGAGTTTAGCCTTTTATTTGCTCATATGGCTTTGCTTTTAGGAGTTTTTAAAAACACTGCTAATCTAATTATAGTTCTTCATCTCTTTACTATCTATCAGTCATCCATTATATTATCTTTTTTATCTGATATATGACAAGAGCTGCCAATGAAATTAAATTCAAACCAAAAGGTAAAAGATACATATATTTACCTAAAGTAACTTTTTGTTAACAGTATGAAGAGATAAAGAACTGCTACCTCCTAGGGATGATTTCAAAAACTAACAAATAATGTGATTAAACACTGTAAGCCAGAAGCATAGTTATCTTTCTCTCTCAAAGCTTCCAGTCAATGGCTTGGAAAACAGTTCCTTTCATAGCTGGAAGCCATCAACTTTGGTGATCCTTTGAATTCCCATTGTTGACTAATGGGCCCCATCCTACTTTACACCCATGATCCTAGGGAAAAAGTAAACAGGAGCAACAGAAACTGGTTCCCAATATCCCAGTCAGAATTCAGGGATTTTCCTAGGAATCAACAAACCCCTTCCTAATACCTCTGCCTGCTTAAGCCAAGAAAAGAGTATCAAGGAACCTTAAAAGGAAATGTAAATATGCAGACCAGAAGAGCAATACTACTACAACTACACAACAATGAGAGTAACAAAAATTTTACTCTACTGAACACTTACTATGAGCCAAGTAGCATAGTATGGGCTAAATAAACTATTTAGATTATTTCATTTGATCCTGCAAAGTGAGATAAGGAGTTGTTCCTCATGCTTCATATGAGAAAATAGCAGTTTAGAGGAATAAAGTAAATGCCACAGCCACTCAGTGGCAGGACTGAGTCTGATCTTCGTCTGCACCTCACCCGTAACCATTGAGCCTCAGGACTTCTCTCAGGAAGGAGGTAATAGAACATAAAAAATAATAGAAGCAGATTTTTAATCCAAGTCCCCAAGCTCAAAAACTTCATTTTTCTCACTCTTGAATTCTTTACTTATCCTACAACCCATTTTTGAAATAAAGGCAATAGAATGATTTGTAAATGAATTAAGTTTGTACAAAGTATGGCTTCAAACCTTTACCACAAAACTAATTAAACTTGCACTTTTGTTTCTGGGCTGTTATAGCTTGTACTGATTTTTAAAATCTGTTCTTCCATCAATAAAAAAACAAGTATTTGGATAAGTTCTAACATTCATTGTTTAAGTATCATCCAAAAAGAAATTCATGAAGCTGAAACCCCTTCTACAAACTACACACTTCTTGTTAACACCTGACTGTTACAAGACTTAAATAAGAAAATAGAGACATTCTTTTAAAAAAAAGGACTATGACTATTTCTTCAATGTATTCTCAGAAACCAGTACAGTTCTTGGATCTAATGTTTGTCACGTAAAATTAAAACAATACTCCGCTATTCCACAATCTGTGTAGTATGCTATAGTAGATCCTGGGACAAATAAAGAACCCTAGTGGAAAAACTAGCAATTTAGGAAGATTAAATTTCATTTGGTAAAGTCTAAATACAGTCTATACTTTAGTTAAACGTATTGTACCAATGTTAATTTCTTAGTTTTGACAAACACACCATATTTAAGCAGGCAGTTAACATTAGAGGAAGCCAGGTAAAGGAAAAATAGGAACTCAGTACTATCTTTGCAACTTTTCTGTAAATCTGAAATTATTCCAATATGAAAAGTTATCAAGGAAAGGAAAGGAAAGAGGAAAGGAAAAAGGAAAGGAAAAGAATGGAACGGAACTCAGGAAAGAACCTGACACACAGTAAATGTTAATAAATGCTATCTGTTAAATTATTAGTAACTACGACAGCTTACTTAAATTGGAACAAAAAACATACCAACCTACCATATTTATTTTCAAAGAAGGACTGTGCAGAGACATGAGATGTATGCCAATGGGAAGAAATGTTCTTGCCTTTACAAAATCCAGGAAGTAAACTGTCTACCAGTTGATCAATCTGTCCAATTTTTAATTCAGATAATCCAAGGTCTCTTAAATTAAGTACAGGCTGTAAAAGATTGAGTCAACAAAGTTAGCATTATTATCAAGATATTTAACTTAAAGAGTTCTTGTTAGTTGAAAAATTATGGATTTAAAAAAAATCTAACAAAGGTATTGATTCCTCTTTTCTTTCTAATATTTAAAAACTAAATTGAAAAAAAAAATAAATTGGTGCAAATATTTTTTTTACACATTTTATTTATTTATTTGTCAGAGAAGAGAGAGAGAGCACAAGCAGGGGGAGCAGCAGGCAAAGGGAGAAGCAGGCTCCCCGCTGAGCAAGGAGCCAGAAGTGGGACTCCATCCCAGGACCCTGGGATCATGACCTGAGCCAAAGGCAGACGCTTAACCCACGGAGCCACCCAGGTGTCCCTGGTGCAAATATTTTTATAGTTCTAGTTTTATGGAGGTCAGTCATGTGGGGTTTGATAAAGATTAAAAATATTTTCCAAATAGTGTCTCTAAGTTATGGACATTTAAAGCTTCCTTCAGTTTCTTTTTTTTTTTTTTTTAAAGATTTTATTTATTTATTTGAGACAGAGAGAATGAGAGACAGAGAGCATGAGAGGGAGGAGGGTCAGAGGGAGGAGCAGGGAGCCCGATGCGGGACTCGATCCCGGGACTCCAGGATCATGACCTGAGCCGAAGGCAGTCGCTTAACCAACTGAGCCACCCAGGTGCCCCTAAAGCTTCCTTCAGTTTCTAATGTCCATAAACCAAAACCCATTTGATTAAAAAAAAAAAAAGGGTATGATATTATCAGAACCAAGCCCTGAACATCTCACTCCTCTGGTTTCAGTGCTGAGATCCTTCTTTGAACTGAGAGGTTCTATATTACCCATATCTAACTTCTAATAAGGAGGAAAACTGAACAAAGTAAAAAATGTGTGAAAACCAGGCAAGCAAATACACTCACATTAAAACAGTTCTAAACTAACTACAAATAGGATAGAAGTGAGTTATTTTCTTGTCCACAGGAGCTGTCAGGCAGACATGAAAGACAAATAAAAATAAGCCCCAGACAGCTAAAAGTTCAAGCAAGGGAAGCAAAAATAAACAGAACAAGTATCAGCTTCTGAAGACTGATGTGAAGTTAGATCCATAAAATTTCACACACAAAAAAATGAAGTTAGATCCATGGATTATATAGCTTTGGACTGATGTCCAGGGGTTTCTCACTTACTAGCTTTGTGAAAAATCATTCGTAATCTTAGAATCAATTTCCTCATTAGTAAAATGCCTATGAAACATGCCCTGCCTATTTCACAACAAGATGGTATGGATCAATGGAAAAGATCATGCCATGCTCATCTGACATCCTAACACAAAGACAAGGATAGTTAAAGCATGATGAAATAAAATATTTAAAAGAGCTCTTTATTAAAAACTACACAATGTAAAGCATATTATTAAAATGAAAACTGCAGGACTACAATACTCAAAAGCTACTTTTCAAAAGTTTTTTTTTTTTTTAAGATTTTATTTATTTGACAGAGAGAGACACAGAGAGAGAGGGAACACAAGCAGGGAGAGTGGGAGAGAGAGAAGCAGTTTTCCGCTGAGCAGAGAGCCCGATGTGGGGCTCGATCCCAGGACCTTGGGACCATGACCTGAGCCGAAGGCAGACGCTTAACAACTGAGCCACCCAGGCGCCCTCAAAAGTTATCTTTTATTATTTTTTTTAAGTAGGCTCCACACCCAGCATGGAGTCCAACATGGAGACTAACGCAGGGCTTGAACTCGCGACCCTAAAATCAAGACCTGATTCAGCTCTGATCAAGAGTCAGATGCTTAACCGAAGGGGCCACCCAGGCGCCCTTCAAAAGCTATCTTTTAAAATGGGAAGCCAAAACGTCTATTTACAATACAAAGACTTCAAAAGGGAAATGCAGATTCTTAACTTAAAATTATTTCCCTTTCTTACTGGCTGTCAGGTCCTTGGAATGTAAAGAGAAATAAGGTACATGTAAGCACAGCAATTATCATACAACATAATAACTGCTATTACAAAGATATTTAAAACAAAAGTGGTAAGAGAACAGAGAGCAACTAATTTCCTAAGTCAGATACAGCTGCACTGAGGTAACACCTACTTTGCAAAATGATGGGAAGCCTTGGGGTAAGGGACAAACAAATATCATCAAAGCACCTGGAATGTTTCAGATGTTGTCCAAAGATTAGTGATGGAAGAATGAACTAGATGGGCAATGCTCAAATTGTAAAGAGGCTTGTCTGAATTTAATTCTATAGCTAATATGATCAGTTTTGTTTTATTGCAAGAAAATACAAGATAAAGATAGTAAACTGGATAAAAAATGGCTGATGGAACAAGAGAAAAATGGTACGAGCCTGAACCAAGCCCTAACTAAAAATAACAAATTACAGACAATAGACATACGAAAAAACCAATAGAGGATTGACAGGAAGAAGGGTTCTGAATGAACAATCTAGTTAATCAATTTATTGTCTCCTAGCTCCTCTTCATCCTTTCTGTTAGCTCCATGAACAATGATCTGGGCTCTTTAAATATTTTTTCTTTGCCAGCTGGGACAATGTTAAGCTTTGTCAGTAAAGAGCACTGGAGACTCTGTAAGAGCAAAGTGTCTTTGTTCCTGGTTCTGGTGTGCTCATTCAGCAGGCTCCTATCTGAAGCAACCATGGTTTCTCTAGCATCTGGCTGCCACTTGTGTACCTTCTCCAAAACTCGGCCCCTACAGTCAACAGCGGCTAGCACTAGCAGCTTTTCAGTAAAGGACATTCCCATGAACAGCTTTCCCTGCTACCAGGAATGGCAGATTTCCAGCAAGTGCAGCGAGCGTGACACCAGTGACTTAGCCACTCAGGGAGCCAAGGCCATACCCTCTTCCAATAAGGTCAAGACCTCAGCCCGCAGGTGAAGAACTCTTCCTGCCATGCTCCATCTCGGATCTAAGAGTATTAGCTACTCCTTAAATCTTCTAGTACCGTGTATTTTAGAGTTTACTTATTACTAGCCAATCCCTAGTTATCCCGATCCCCTAAAAAAATAGGGTTTTAAAAATATTAAACTAAAAAATGACACTAATTTTTAGCATTAAACTTTCACTGTTCAAAAAACTATGTGGTTTCTCTCTCCTGGTTGGAGCCAGACTGCTAAAGAGGGGCTAAATCCACTGTAAGTTCAAATATACTAGAAATGTGAGAATAGCCAAGTTTGGACATCTTAATTTTGAGGTCCCTGAAATTCTCTCCAGAGGGGTATTTTAACAAGGCACTAAATAAATGACTTCAAAGATTTAAAGTGAATTTAGGGTTGGAGATATCTTTGGGAGTTATCAGCATATATATACACACACATAGGTATGTGTGAATATGGGTAACATGACTTGGGAGAATGTGCGTAACAAAAATTAGATCAAGGATAAATGCACAGCACACCAAATATTTAAGGGGCTGGCAACAAAAAAAACCAGCCAGCAAAACAGAAAGAGAAAAACCATCATCAATGTAACATCACTCAATACATGGGAGTATTTTGAAAATAGTGAATGTTCAGCAAGACCAGATGCTAAGGAAATGTTTAAAAAGATGTGGCTTTTTAAAAAGGCCTGAATTTAGCGTGAAGGAATCAACGACTTTAGCAAAATAAGTCTGTAAAATGGTACAAAGTAATAGCCTAACTATGATGAGATGTAGTGTAAGAATAAAAGTTTAGCAAGTACAGTTACAAGTTCAGACTACTATTTCAAGAAGTCTGAAAACAAAAGGAAAATAAGTCAGTAGCTTTTGAAGGAAGTTGAAAGGAAGGTTTTTAAAATTACATTGTGGAATGGATGTTTGGATAAGTAAGACTTGATGAAAGCAAAGCCACCACACAGCAAAGGAGGTGAGAGTAAAGATGAGGTAGGATGCTTAAGGAGAGGGGTGCCTGGGTGGCTCAGCTGATTAAGCGTCTGCCTTTGGCTTGAGTCATGATCCCAGGCTTCTGGGATCGAGCCCCACATCGGGCTCCCTGCTCAGCAGGAAGTCTGCTTCTCCCTCTCCCCACTTGTGCTCTCTCTCGCTCGCCCTGCTCTCTCTCTCTCAAATAAATAAATAAAATCTTTTAAAAGAAAAAAGGATGCTTGGGGTGCCTGGGTGGCTCAGTAATTAAGTGTCTGCTTTCGGCTCAAGTCATGATCCCAGGGTCCTGAGATCCAGGCCCATGTCGGGCTCCCTGCTCAGCGGGAAGTCTGTTTCTCCCTTTCTCACTCCCCCTGCTTGTGACAGCGAGAGAGAAAGAGAGAGAGAGAGCAAGAACACAAGCAGGGGGAGTCGGAGAGGGAGAACAGGCTTCCCGCTGAGCTGGGAGTCTGATGCAGGGCTCATGACCTGAGCGGAAGGCAGAGGCTTAACGCCTGAGCCACCCAGGCGCCGAAAATAAATAAAATCTTAAAAAAACACACAAAAAAAGGATGCTTAAGGAGAAAGAAAAAGTTCTGTAAAGCAATAAAGAACACTCACTAAAGACAAACAACAGGACACCAATTCCGTATCTGAAACCACTAATCATAAGCCCAACACTGGCTTCTAGAGTTTAGCTACTTTTCAAGCCCCTAACCTAGCAATTTCACTTAACGAAATAATCTTCAGTAACACAGACAGTAAAAGTGATGTTGTTTATAGCAATAAAAAATTGGGAACAATATCCAACAATGGGATATCATACAATGAACACTTTGAAGTCATTAAAAATATAGAAAATGGGGGCTCCTGGATGGCCCAGTCGGTTAAGTGTCTGCCTTCCGCTCAGGTCATGATCCCAGGGTCCTGGGATCGAGCCCTGCATCGGGCTCCCTGCTCAGTGTGGAGTCTGCTTCTCCCTCCCCCTGCTTGTGTGCTCTCTCTCTCTCATAAATAAATGAAATCTTTAAAAAATATAAAGAGAGAGAATGTATGGCATAACAAGTCCATAAAAACTATTAAATGAACAAAGCAGAATTTAAGTCAGCATATACAGAATGATCCAATTATAAAATTAAAAAGTACAGGGACGCCAGAGTGGCTCAGTTGGTTAAGCGTCCAACTCTTGATCTTGGCTCCGGTCTCAATCTCATGGTCATGAGTTCAAGCACCACACTGGGCTCCATGTTGGGCCCATATGGAGCCTACTTAAAAAAAAAAGTGTACGAGAAAAAGAGACTTGACATGTAAATACAAAATGTTAATAGCATTATCTCTGGGGAGCAGGATCACAGGAGAATTTTATTTCTTCTACCTATACAGTATTTTCCAAGATTTCTAAAAGGAACAGAATATTGCTATATGTAGCAATTTTGATACATGTATTTTCATCAGGCAGGCTCTCTTGGACTATAATTTGGGACAGGGTTATCACCACAGGAGAAAGACAATGGATTGCCTATAGAAAGAAGCAATAGGAATTAGGTAAATGTTATAAAAGGAAAGTCTAAAGACGTTGAAGAACAAACTTTTCATCTAACTAAAATTTTATCCCAAGACTGACTCCAACCTTCCCAAGAAGTGAACACTTTTTCAACTCCTCCTCTACTATTCTTTGCCATAGCCCCTGATATCAGGACTAAGAACATAAGTTACTTATGGATTAAAGAGGTTTTTAGGAAATTTAACTAGAAATGATAATGTTTTCTATGAAAAATGTATTCTGAGCTACATGCAGCTATCTTACTAATAAACCCTGTAAACACAAAGGTTCCTAGGCTGCGAATTCCCTGTATCCTAGGAAACACTGATTTTGTAATCCTCTGAATACTGAAAGTAGTTTCATAGTGTATGTATTTCACCTTTAGGTACCTATATTCTAACTGTTCAGCTACACTGAACACGCCCATAAGGCAGCAGATGGTAACTTCTTACTATTCCACCTTCCTTGAGACTTGGGAGGTAATTATGGTCAGTTAATTGTGGGTTCACTGCTACTGCTGGAGCAATACAAAATATCTAAATGGTATCACACAACTAGTAATCTAGGAAGTGAATACCAAATACACTTCCACATGAATTTTTTTTTTTTTTAAGGTAGGGTCCATGCCCAACGTAGGGCTCAAACTCACGACCCTGAGGATTAAGAGTCGCCTCCTCTACCAACTGAGCCAGCCAGGCACCACTGCCACAGGAAATTTTTAATAAATGTTAAAAAAATAAGACAAAGTAACTTTTCTATATGTACAATAAAGTCAGAATTAGACATCTTTAATCATAAAGGAGATAAGCTGAAGATAGGAACGACCTTGTCACAAGTACCTAACCATAGAAAGACATTTCAGACATGTTTCCAACATACTAAATCAAAAACACGGTAAAAACTATTTTTAGTTTCTCACACAATCAGGGTAAAAACTATTACCTCATTGCCAGCAGCCTCATGGTCAGGAACTACATCTCGATGGTGGTTTTGCGAAGCTGACACACTGACAGAAATAGATGTGTTTTTTGGTGAATGGAAGGCATTGATGAGGTGACTCAGAGGAACTGTAACCTAAAAGAAGATAAAAGTTGAAATTCAGTAGTGTGCTTTTTAAAATTAAAACAGAGAAAATCTTTTTATTGTCAGGATCTGGGATTTGTAAAATGTAAAACATACACTGTATATCAGGACTATATATTAAAAAATGAAAACACTCAGATGTATTGCTAGCAGGAAAAAACAGGTAAATTCTTCCAGGACAGTACTCTGGCTATATGAATCAAAAGTATTAAAAATATATATTTTATTTCCCATTAATGTAATTTCTAGTAGTTTATTCTAAGGAAACAATCTGAAAAGTGCTTGTATATGCATAGATGACAATTTTCATTAAAACATTTAAAAAGCACTGGAAGAGGGGCGCCTGGGTGGCTCAGTCGTTAAGCGTCTGCTTCGGCTCAGGTCATGATCCCAGGGTCCTGGGATCGAGCCCCGCATCGGGCTCCCTGCTCCGCGGGAAGCCTGCTTCTCCCTCTCCCACTCCCCTGCTTGTGTTTCCTCTCTCACTGTGTCTCTCTCTGTCAAATAAATAAATAAAATCTTAAAAAAAAAAAAAAAAAGCACTGGAAGAGCAGAAATGCCCACCATTAAAAGAGTGGGCTAAATAAATGATACCACCACAAAATGAAGTATTTCAGACTTAAAAAAAAAAAGTAAGCACATATCCAGAATTTTATTCTTCTCAACTTCCTCACTGCACCAACCTGTTCTCATCCTATTCTAAGTCACCATTATCTATATGCAGATTTTCACAATAGCCCTCCTAACTACTCTCCCTGAACCTGCTCTATTAAAAACAAAATCAGGGGCGCCTGGGTGGCTCAGTCTTTAAGCCTCTGCCTTGGGCTCAGGTCATGATCCCAGGGTCCTGGGATCAAGCCCGCATGGGCTCCCTGCTCAGCGGGAGGCCTGCTTCTAACACTCTCCCACTCCCCATGCTTGTGTTCCCTCTCTCACTGTCTGTCAAATAAATAAACAAATCTTTAAAAAAAAAAAGAAAAAGTCAGATCTCATCGCTCCTCTGCTCAAAACCCTCCAATGGCTTCTCTTCCCACTCACAATAAAAGCAGAAGTCCTCAGCACTATGACACAGACAGCCCTCTATGGTTATTACCTCTCCAAATTTATCCACCGCTATGTTCTTCGTTCTCTTTCCTCCTGCCATATTGGCCTCCTTGCTGTTCCTGGAACACACCTAGCAAGCCCTCCCTCAAGGACTTTGCATTGTTTTATTCCCTTTTGTCTAGCCTGCTCTCCGACTTCCTTCAATTCTTAACTCAAATGTCATCTTTTGAGTCTTTTCCCTAGCCAACCTATTTAAAATTTCAACAACCCTCCCCTAAAAAATATTCCTTATCCCTTTTCACTACTCCATTTTCTCTTCTTGACACTTTCAGTATCTAACACACTTTATACCTAATCTACTTGTTTATCTATACGTTGTTTATTTCTCGTTTCTCTCTCTCAACCAATTCTGACACCAGCTGGTTGTCCAACAATCCAAATCTGAAATTAATTACCCAGTGTTACTATAGAACCCATAAGTTAAAGGCTCAGCCCCGGGGTGCCTGGGTGGCTCAGATGGTTAAGTGTCTGCCTTCGGCTCAGGTCATGATCCCAGGGTCCTGGGATCGAGTCCCGCATTGGGCTCCCTGCTAGGCAGGGAGCCTGCTTCTCTCCCTCTGCCTCTGCCTCTCTCTCTCTGACTTTCATGAATAAATAAATTAAAAAAAAAAAAAAAGCTCAGCCCCACAAGTCTGTTCCCATTTCAGATACCAGTCACAAGTCCTAAGCCATTCATACTTCTGATCTACCAGCTATAAATCAGGGTTTCCTCAACCTCCTCCCCAGGTTTGATAATTTGCTAGAACAGCTTATAGAACTAGGGAATATACTTTACATTTACTGGTCTATTAAGGAAGGAAGGAAGGAAGGAAGGAAGGAAGGAAGGAAGGAAGGAAGGAAGGAAGGAAGGAAGGAAGGAGGGAAGGAAGGAAAGGAGGGAGGGAGAAAGTGGGAGAGAGTAAGGAAGGAGAAGAAAATGAGAAAGGAGAGGAGAGGAAAGGAAAGGAAGGGAAGGGAAGGAAGGAAAGGAACGGGGTGCCTGGGTGGCTCAGTAGGTTGAGCATCTGCCTTCAGCTCGGGTCGTGATCTCAGGGTCCTGGGATGAAGCCCTGCATCAGGCTCTCCACTCAGCCGAGAAGTTGGCTTCTCCCTCTCCCTCTCCCTCTGTGATCTCTCTTGCTTTCGTGCTCTCTCAAATAAATAAATAAAATCTTAAAAAAAAAAAAAAAGGTAGGAAGGAAAGGCCAGATGAATAGGCACAGCCACAAGGGTGCAAAAGCACAAGATGTGGAGTGTACCACCCTTCTGCATGGTGAATCTTTGCACTAAATCTCACTGTTGAAGAGTTTCTATAGAGATCAATCCCTAGGCCAGCCCTCCCCTCCCAAAACCTAGGGGGTTAGGCCTGAGAGTTCCCATCTTCTAATCACTAGGTCTTTCAGGTGACCAGCTCAGCCCTGAGGCTGTCTAAAGACCCTATCCTAAGTCACCTCCTAAGCGTAATTCCAGGTGTGATCCAAAGGGGTGCCTTAAGACACTCCTATCACATAGGAAATTCCAAGGGTTTCAGGAGCTTCATGCCAAGAAATGGAAACAAAGACCAAATATTTACTTTTTATTATATACCAGTCTCCCACCAAAATGTTAAGTCTGATGTGGCAAGGGATTTTTTTCTCTACTCTATTTTACTTTATTTATATAATTATTTAATGTAAAACTGTTAACAGAAAGAGTTAGGTGTCCCTGGAAAAAAGACATAACTTTCTTGACATAAGGCCCCCGAGCCATCTTATGAAAGAATATAAGAACAGCCACTATCAGGCCCGGAGTCTAATCTTTAATCTCATCAGGGACAATAAATCCGTGGTAAAGCTCCCAGAGTTCAAAAGTGAAGACTGACCTTCTTGAGTTATGTTTGCAGGATCTAAATCCCTTTAACCCTCAGATATTGAACTAACTGGAGCCAGAAAACTGATGATACTATCCTTTGCTTGCCCTTGTGACTCTGACCTGGACTCAGTCACTTTAAGATGACTTTTGCCCCAATTCCATGATGTATTCCCCATTCCACAAGCCTCGTCATGAATATGCATGAACCCTTACCCTAAAACTTTCCCAATTTTGTTATTCAGGGAGACACTGCTTTGGGAAAGATGCCTAATGTTCTCCTTTACTTGCTGCAAGTAAAACCTTCCCTTTTCCCATTCTTTGGCTTGGTTGTGTCTCTTGGTTTGACATTCACCAAGAGACAAACCCAGTTTTCAGTAACAAAATGTTTTTACACAATACTCACATAACTTACATACTTTAGATTTTTTTTTATTTTATCCATACTGTATCCCAGTGCAACAATAATGCACACACAGTAGATGCCAAATAAATATTTCTTGCGTAAATGAATAAATTAAGTGGGTTCTTACCATACAGGCATACCTCATTTTATTGTGCTTCACTTTATTGCACTTTGCAAATACTGCATTTTTTTTATAAATTGAAGGTTTGTGGTCACACTGCATCAAGCAAGTCTTTTGGCACCATTTTTCCAGTAGCATTTGCCCACTTCATGTCTCTTTGTCACATTTTGGTAATTCTCACAATATTTCAAACTTTTTCATTATTATTATATTCATTACGGTTACCTATGATTAGTGATCTTTGTTGTTAATACTGTAGTTGTTTTGGGATGCCACGAACCACACCTATATAAGACACTGAGCTTAATCAGTAACTGTATTCTGACTGCTCTACCAATGGGCCCTTCCCATCCCTCTCCCTCTCCTTGGGCTTTCCCATTCTCTGAAACACAATATTGAAATCGGGGCAATTAATAACCCTACAATAGCATTTAAGTGTTCAAGTGAAAGGAAGAGTCACACTTCTCTCACTTTCAATCAAAATCCAGACATGATTAAGCCTGATAAGGAAAGCATGTCAAAAGCCAAGATAGCCTAAAAGCTAGGCCTCTTGTACTTTGCCAAGTTGTACAAGCAAAAGAAAAGTTCTTGAAGGAAATTAAAAGTGCTATTCTAGTGAACACACAAATACTAAAAAAGCAAAACGGCCTTCTGGCTGAAAGTTTTAGTAGTCTGGATAGAAACCAACCACAACATTCCCTTAAGCCAAAGCCTAATTCAGAGCAAGGCCCTAACTGTATTTAATTCTATGAAGGCTGAGAGAGGTGAAGAAGCTGCAGAAGGAAAGTCTGAAGCTAGCAGAGGTTGGTTCATGAGGTTTAAGAAGCCATCTCCATAACATAAATGTGCAAGGCGAAGCAGCAAATACTGATATAGAAGCTGCAGCAAATTATCCAGAAGATCTAAGTGACACAGATTACTAATGAGTAACTATACTAAACAGATTTTCAATGTACAAGAAACTGCCTTCTGGTCTAAGATGCTATCTCATAACTAGAGAGAAGTTAATGCCTGGCTTCAAAGCTTCGAAGGACAGGCTGACTCTCTTGTTAGGGACTAATATAGCTGACTTTAAGTTGAAGCCAATGTTTATTTACCATTCTGAAAATCCTAGGCCCTTAAGAATAGTATTGAATCTATGCTGCCTCTGCTCTATAAATGGAAAAACAAAGCCTGGTCGACAGCACATCTATTTACAATATGATTTACTGAATACTCTAAGCCCCCTGTTAAGAGACCTACTGCTCATAAAAAAAGGATTCCTTTCAAAATATTACTGCTCATTGACCATATACTTGGCTACCCAAGAGCTCTGTTGGATGTGTACAACCAGATTAATGTTGCATTTACATCTGCTAACACATCCATTCTGCAGCCCATGTGTCAGAAGCAATTTTGACTCTCAAGTCTTATTATTTAAGAAATACATTTTGTAAAGGCTACAGCTGCCAGAGAGTGTGATTCTTCTTATGGATCTGGGCAAAGTGAACTGAACACCTTCTGGAAAAGGATTCACCATTTCAGATGGCATTAAGAACTTTTTCATAGGAAGA